CGGGGGGGGGCGGGGGGCGACGTTCGAGCATGGCCCCATGTAAAGCAGCATCTCTCATGAACGTGTTGGCAAAATGCATGTGCCTAAAGGGGTTAGTTTTCCCTTTACTATTCCTCAGAGAGATAAGATTTGGCAGACAATGAAAACGAAAACTAAAACCGAGGATCGAGAAGTGATTTCAAATCCAGACTGATTAGGCAGAGGGCCACAGGGAAACAGTCACCTTTCTACAGTGCCTTTTTCTGTACCCAAAAGGACGTGCTGGTTTCCAAAACAAATGCAGTCACACGCAACCCCCTTATTCCCCGTGCGTGTGTGGTATCTAGCAGTGCTGTAGCAGCACCGACTGCGAGGGCCCGTTTCCATGGGAAAGCTATCGCAGCATCGCTGCAGCGGGAGCTGAAGGTGCAGGAGCCTCTGGGAAAAGCCGGTGCCTGTAGCGACCGCTGCCAGCGAGGGGACGGCCAGCCTTGCCGGGGAAGCCGGGTGAAGTAGCTCGGCCACAGACGAGTGCCCCAATCGCTGCAGCAGCAGACGTGCGTGCCTGAGCCCCCACATGCCACCGTCACCGCGGCTCAGATGATGGCTGGTGACCCCTAAGTTCATGGCCTTGGGAAGCTGTAAAAATACAGGACTAAGCCCTTCTTAGGCCCGATACCCTGCGGCTCCCGCGGACCCCGGGATCAGCAAGGAGTGCCACCCAGGGTAAGGGGCCGGTTTAACCTCCGCCAGTGACTGGCAAGTAAAATGCTTGGAAAAACAAGTCTTTATTCTGGAAGGGGGAGATGAGTGAAGCAGAAGCCCTCAAAAAAAAAAAGCTCAGACAAGGTGGGGGCAAAAAAAAAAAAAAAAATCAAAACCTGGCAGGGAGGCAGCAGGCAGCCCCCAGGGCCGGTGGCCCCAGCTGCACCCCTACCTGCCCAGCCAGAGACCCCCCCCACCGGGCAAACCACGCCGTAGCACCCGGATAGCAAACGCGGCAGAGATTTAGGTCAGGCAGCAGCATCAGCTGCAAAGCAAGCCAGCAGTAGCCTTGCGCACCCGCTGGAAAAAAAGAAGCGACGCTGTTTGGAGGATGCAGGGAAACAGGGCAGAGAAGAAGGAATTGCTGATGCCCACTGAGACAGCCAACATACAGCCTCGGGTCTGAAATCCAGAGCAGCCCCAATCCCCCGCTCCTCCTTTAAAAGCAGAATAACCCCACCTAAATCTCCTACATCTATATTAGATATTTTGGGTGCAGCTTTTTTGGGTTGCCAGCTGTGCCCAGGCTGAGGTCGCTGGCTTCAGGCAAAGGGCTAGGTTTAATAGCCTGTCTAGAGTTTTGCTGTTATTTGGAGGGGAGGGGGATAGCAAGGGTGAGCCTATAGTTGTGCATTCAGAGACAGAAGCAAGCAACCCTGCCCAGCCTCCCTTCCCCAGGAAAGCCCCTCAAGAGGGAGATCTGTCTGCTCCCCCCAAGGAAAGCCGAAGTCCAGATGTGCCAGACCTGCCCTACGCACACCCTCCCCAGCTCCCCTCAGCCAAGAAGGGCTTGTTACTACCTCCATGGCAATTTCAGTAGCACTTAGCATTTTTTTTCTGCAAGAAATCCAACACTAGGACAGTTTCAAAAACAGAAAAACCACAGGAGATTCCTACCTGCACCTTGCTTTAACCTCAGCAATAAACCTCGACAGCTTTTTAACTCGAGAGCTAAAAGAAACAGCGAACCCCAGAGAGACCCCTCCTCAGGGCAGGGAGACCCAAGGACCAGGGGCACTGTATTTGGGCTCGGATGAGCCAGCTGAGCCTCCTTACTCATTAGCAGCCTAATTGGGGCCCCTATATAAAGGCCAAACTGGGCATGGGCAAGGTTTGGCTCCCTGGTAGGAGGGAGGGAGAGCAGCACCAAGTGCCTAGGGGCTGTGCTCAGCAGAAAGTTTAGGAGTAGCTAAAGACTGCTAGAGCATGTCTTACAACAGGGTGTGAAGAAAGAGAAGCCACTGGGATGCCTTACGCTGTAAGTCCCCCCGGCAGGGCTCGTGCAGCGGTGTCTCAGGTTGAGGAGCCTCGCACATTTGTCTCTGCTAGTTCCTGGTGTGGCAGACCGCAGCCTGCTCCTGAGCAGCCCTGCTATGGCCTTTTGTGGGGACCCGAACGGCTCAGGGGAGCAACAAATGGGACCCCAAGTCTTTGCTGTCCAGGCAGCAGCACTGTGTTGTGCCCTGGGTGAACAAAACCTGACATCCTGTTGACTGGGACGTTTTCTGTGAAGTAGCTTTGCAATAAGGCTGTTGTCATCCCCGACACAAGTAACACTGCCCTGCTTGCTGGCACGAGGCTCATTTGCAGGAGCCCACTGTCACAGAGTCCCCCACCTCCCCTGAAAGGGAAACCTTCCTTAGGAACTGGTTTAACCTACGAACAGGCAGTGCCTGGTGCCTAATGGAAACAGCATTTAATATAAATTCCACTTAATGGGGAAGTGTTTTGGTCTTTGCCAAGTGATTAAGTGTGTATGAAATATGCATGAAATTCTAATTTGTCCTCCTAATATATAAGGTGCCAAATGAAGTCCAGGAGCTGAGACATAGTGCAGGCTGCTTGTAGCTCTAGTTAATGCTGCTAGCTTTGCTCACACTATATACTTATTTTTTGTTAACAGTATCTTCCAACAAACGAATCCCTGGCAGAATCGGGGTGAGAAGACAAGCCCCCGGAGCTGCCATCCCGTGGGAGCATGCCCCAGAGCAGGTACGAGCTCCCGTGTGGCTCAAGGCGGGTAGCTGGAGCCTGAGCGCTCCCAGCCTGGGCTGGGAGGGGGAATGTTGTCTGGTTGTGTGGTGCTGCGCTGAGACAGCAGTAGTGCCTTGTCGAGCCTCCCAAGGTGATGACTGTTGGTAGGTGAGTAGTATGCAGTGCCGAGCTCCTCGAGTGCCCGGGGCCGGGGGAAGCACCCTGATCCCACATTCCTCGACACCTGCAATGTTTAAGTGCCAGCTCCCCTTCCCGTTGCATCCCTCTCAGTTGCTTATACCCAGAATTGAGAGGTTGGGGCAGGATTTTCGTTGCCAAGCTCAGCGGACATGGCTTACCCCTTGCACATGACAAACTGCAGCGTTAGCGAAAGCCCTGGCTTCCAAAATGGTGCAGGCTGGCCAGGAGATGAGTGACTCTGGTGTGGGCACCTTGCTGTAGCTACTCGTACGGTTGCTGGCAGGCTAGACGGCAGTATCTCGGGCCTTTCCATCACCGGAGGACTCTAAATCCCAGCCTTTGAGCCACCAGCGAGGCTGAGCTGCTCTGCGTGGGAAGCGTAACTTCCCTGTGCAGAAATCACACCATTAGCTGTGATGAACTGCAAGCAGAAATATTGCACACTTGCTGACTTGTAATAGCGCCTGGCACCCGCGCACGGTGACAAGTGTCAGGACAGCATCGCGGGCTATTCTTGGTGCCGAGTAGGCTTGGGAGCTAACTGTGTGCGTCGCTGGGCTTGCTCTGTCAAGAATTAACGCTCTAGCTACAGGACTCGGACTGCAGCTCGACCCAGGCACTCGCTATTAATCAGGAGGCGACGCGGTGCGACTACTTGGGGGCTGAGGTTCAATGCTGTAAAATTGGGGGCGTGCAGAAAAAAGACTCCTAGGAATCATTTATGTGTTTTCCCGTCCTGGTTATGTAACTGAAAATGGGATGCCTACAAACAAATGCAGTTCCTAGGAAATTTCTGAAAAGTTAATAGGTTATTAGTGCAGCTTGATAAGTAAGGGTATCGGAGAGCAATGGGCCTCTGCGGCTGTGAGCGGCTGCCGAAACCGTCAAAGTTTCGCTGGCAGTTTGGATCTTGGCTTGAAGGCTGTCAGGAGATGGAATTGGCTAAACGTTTTGTACCCGGTAGCCAGGGGAACGAGGATGGGGCCAAAGAAAGCTATTGCTGAAAGGGGTCAGAAGTGAAGCCACAGCTCGGTTTGCACAGGGCTTTAAAGGAAAGGTGCTCTCGCCAGGCTCCTCATCATTCCAGCTCGCTGGAAGCCGCAGCGGGCAAGTGCCGGGCCTTTGCGTCCCCGTTTCCTCTGCCTCCCCCCCGGGCAAGGCTTATGCAATTACGGATGAGTTGAGTGTCATGGGTGGCTACTGCATTCCCGGCACGCCGCGTTCCCCGTGCGCTCCCACTAAAGCTTCATTACTGTACCTTCTGCTCTGCTCCCAAGCATCTGTTTCTAGCCCTGCCATGATATTTTAAAATATAGTCTGTGCCTGCTGTAGCGCTGCTTGTGGCTTAGACTGAAAATGCCAGGGTCTGAAATCATTGATATGAAACACGGGTGACTCATTTCAGAGAGTGCCAGGCCCATGTTAATTTTGTTAATACTGAAATCATCTGCTTGCAGGGCTGTTTTCTCTCTGCTACCACCAACAGAGCTCTCCATTAGCTGTTGTTTCTAGGAGAAAGGAAAAGGGTA